TATAAATATTATATAATAACTATAATAATGAGTTTGAAAGAAAACTTCCGCAAAAAATTGTTTGATGACTAACCCCACTCCCCAATAAAAATAATATAAAACTTTTTTTGAAGGTATAAATTATTTTATAAATTATTTTTTTTCGGTGTTGTAATCTTCATTAAGCCAATGGATCGACAATTTATTTTTATTTTATTTTTTTTGGCTACAATTGAATATCAAATTTCTCACTAAAAAAAATAAAATATTTTTTGGTGTGAACTAATGTCATTCAATAGTTAGTTAGTGAGTGAGTGAGTGAGTGAGTGAGTGAGTGAGTGAGTGAGTGAGTGAGTGAGTGAGTGAGTGAGTGAGTGAGTGATTGAAAAATATATACTAAAAATCAAATAAAACTAATGATTGTATAGTAAGACCCCAATCAACAACAACAGCAAAAAAAATAGTTGTCTTTTTTTAAAAGGATTGGTTGTCTTAATTGATTTGGACTCTCAATGGTTTGGGTGCCCTATCAGTGATACTATAGCTATACTATTAGGAAATACTGTATGAGAAATGTATGTGTTTTTTTTTGATGTTTGATTTGATTTTTCAACAAATATATATATATAAAAAAATATATACTTAACATCATATACAGTATATATTATGTGAAAACTTTAATATATATTTTATTTGATATAAATTATTTTGTTTAATGAACTGATTGTGTTGAGAGAGAGAGAGAGAGAGAGAGAGAGAGAGAGAGAGAGAATGAAATGCAATAATAATTTTTATTTTTTTTCATTTAAAAATAAATCAAATGTAGATTTAAAAGCCAATTCTCATGTGAGACACCTGTAAATGATTTTTTAAGATTATTTTTATCGTTATATATATATATATATATATATATATATATATACCATGTCTTCAATAAGTTTTTAAAACATTAAAATACAATTTTTTATTTTTTTTATATATGTGTGAGTCCTAGAGGTAATAGTGTTTAATTGATTTTCTATGTGTGTATGTGTATGTATGTGTGTATGTGTGTGTGTGTATTTGTGTGTATGTGTGTGTATGTATGTGTGTGTGTGTGTGTGTGTGTATGTGTGTGTGTATGTATGTGTATATGTGTGTGTGTAAAATTACAGTAACTTACTATTGTAGTACTCCTTAAACATTTAATGGTTTAGTTTTTTTTATTAGTTTTTTATTTTTTTCAAAAAAAAATAGTTTATATCTATTGTTATATTTTTAGTGAATGCCATTCATAATAATCACTTTAAAAATGATTGCGCTTTTTATCTCTATTATGTGTGTATATACTATACAGTACTCTATCTATCGTTTAGTGTATTTTTTAGGTACCTATTAATCTGGATTTTTTTTTGATTTTTATTTTATTATATATATATATCTAACATATTTGAGGGACAATTAGTTTTTTTGTGTATGTTTTTAATTCATCCGATCCGCTGACAAAACCAATGACTAACTAAACCCCTCTTTTGTTATCCCATAAGAAAAAATAAAACAAAATTATCGTTAATTATATACAGGAAATACAGTTTAATCTCTCTCTCTCTCTCTCTCTCTCTCTCTCTCTATATATATATATATATATATATATCTATCTATCTATCTATCTATCTATCTATCTATCTATCTATCTATCTATCTATCTATCTATCTATCTATCTATCTATCTATCTATCTATCTATCTATCTATCTATCTATCTAATAATCTATCTATCTATCTCTATCTCTATCTCTCTCTCTCTCTCTAATAATAATAATAATATTAATATTAACTAATAATAATTTGATGACAATTAAGATGCCTATTATTTTGCACATATTTTTATTTACTGTATAATACAGTATTTAAATACAAAACAATAAAACACACATTAATTTATTGTTGTTTTTTTGGTATCAATTAATTACTTAATAGAGAGTTAGTTAAAAAAAACTATATAAATATATTTATATTAAGTTCAATATATTATTTTAATACAGTATTTAATAGGGGGAAAATAAAATAATTTTTTCATTTATTTAAATTAATTAAGTAATATATATATATATATAAAATATTTAGTTTTATTTAAAAAATTTTATTTATAGAAATTTTATTTTATAGAAAATTTAAATTTTTCAACTCATTTGAAATGCATTGAAAAAATTATTTTTAATGTTTTTTTTATTATTATTAACATTTCTCGAAATGTATTTTGTTGTTGTTTTTGTTGATTATTAACGATTTTTAAATATATATAAAAAAAACTAAAATTTATTACTTATAATAAATTTAACCATAAAATTATTTTTCACAATAATAAAAAAAATCATTTATATATATATATATATAAATATATATTGTATTATATATTGATATATACATACATACATTGAAAGTATAGTTATTTTCTATATTATTAGTTAATATATTTTGAAAAATATTTCTCTCTCTCTCTCTCTCTCAATATATATATATATAATATCTTTCTCTCAAAATCATTACAATTGATTTTTTTCTTCATAGCTAAACATAGTTTAAAAATTATAATAAATATAAATTTATGTAAATACCGCTATTATATATTTTTTTAAATATATATAAATATTAAAATAAAAATATCATTAATATTTTATTGAGAGGAAAGAGAGAGAGAGAGAGAGAGAGAGAGAGAGAGAATAATAAATAATTTTTAAATAAAATACTTAACACTCACATAGATTTGATGTCTTGAATTTTAATATATAATTTGTATATATATATGGTATAAATTTGTATCACATTTTTATTTAAATTTTATATATATATATAAATATTTTTTTTTTGGTTTTATAAGGAGGAAGTAGTGGTTGTGTTGTTTAAAACAATTTATTTATTTTTTGTGTATATATATATATACTGTATATTATATATATAAAGATAACAACAAATAATAAAAAAATAATAAAATCATCAGATATGATGTATGAAATAAATAATAAAAAAATTTTTATTTAAAAAAAATTGTTTATATATCCAATATACATATGTATATCATAACAGGATAGCCAAATGAGTGCATAATATACAGTAAATTTTTTTTGTTGTTGAAAATAACGCCCCAAAACATTATTAAGCAATTTCTATATATATATATATATTATATTTATTGTCAATAAAAGATCAAAATCATGATATATTATATCATATATATTATATATATATATAAGTTATAACCAAATTTGATAGCAAACAAACAAATAGATATATATTAAATATAAAGTATATATATAAACATATAAGATCTAAACATTAAATTATTATTTTATTTTTTTTTGCTAAGTATCGCTAAATTATATATATAAAAAATTTTAAAAAATTATATATATATTTATAATATCTAACATTATATTTTATTTATATAATATATATGCCGTTTATTATTATTTAGGCAAATTTATTATTATTATTATCAAAAGCAATTGAGTTTGATTTAAATCTTAATATTAATAAATTATATACATATATATATATATATATATATAGATAAATTTAGATTTAATGTACTGCAAAATAATAATATTAAAAGTAAAATAATAAATAAATAATAAAAATAAATAAAACTTAATGATTTCAAATTATATAACTTTTTTTCAAAATTTAAATTTATATATAACTTTATATTTATTATATGTGCTAAATTTATTGATTAAAATTTAGCATAAATCTAAATAATTTAATTGTATGACTAATAAGTATTAATAATAATAATAATAATTATTATTATTAATAATATTATTATTATCAATAGATATAAATTAATACATGTATATAAAACAACAACAACAAAAAATTAGGATTTTATTAATTGCAACAAATTATTGGATATTAATAAAAATTATTTTTATATTAAATAAAAACACATTATTATTATTATTTAAGCATAAAAAGCATAGTTATAAATAAGATATTTTTAAAATATATATATTTTTTTATCGTTACATTTATTATATTATTTATTTATTATATTATATATATATATTTTAAAAAGTTAATTAATAGGTGGGTATTATTTTGAAAAACATTTTATGTCTTTAATAATAATAATAATTATTATAAATTTAAAAATCAAATAAACAAGTTATTGATATATTTTTTTATTTTGATTTTTATATTTTTAAACAAAAATTATTTTTTTTTTAAACTATTGAACTAACTATGTATTTAAACAAAACAAAACAAAAAAAACTTGATATGTTTTAAGTGCCAAAGTTTGTTTGGTTTGTGATTACATAATTGCAATAATCATATGAAATATAGATACTGTCTCTATATATCTACTGTATAAGTAATATACAGGTAATACTATATAAATATGTAGATATAAATGTATATATTGGTTAATTATATTGTCAATATAACTTATTTGACTTTAATATATAATGCAAATATTAATAACATAATAAAAAAAACTACTATTTTCTGTGTGTATGTGTGTGAATATATAAATAAATTATTATAAATATATATTATAAACAAAAAAAATGCATTTATAATATATATAAACTGATGGTTACATAATATCGGGGGATATGTATGTATGTATGTATGTATGTATGTATGTATGTATGTATGAGATAAGTGTCTAGTGTCTGATCTCTCTCTCTCTCTCTCTCTCTCTCTCTCTCTCTCTCTCTGATAGTATATATATATATAAGTTTAAAACATATACAACAACAACAAAAAAGTTGTTATACAATAAACTCCTCCCACGACTACAACAACAACAACTACTACTACTAATACTACTACTCAGTGGTGACGTTAGCCTTAAAGCCACAAAACTTTTTTTGTTTTGTTTGTTAGTTAGTTTGTTGTTGAAAATCATAGTAATATTTTATTTGCTATTAGAGAGAGAGAGAAAAAAAACGGGAATCATATATATACAGTATATACAGGTATACAGTATATACCTGTATATATGAAAAACTAAAGTTTTTTAGTATTTTAAATGTTATCATTAAATAAAAAAAAAATAGTTGTTTCGTTAGTTTAGTGTCTGGTTTTTCAATCAGTCGAGTCAGTTGGTGTGTTGCTGTATCAGCAATAGTACAGTTAGTTTAGACTACGAGTGCTCAACAACAACACCAACCAGTGTTTTAGTGCGATTAGTCGACTATCCGGAGGACTAAATAAATATATAATTTATTATTATTACTATTAGTATTACTGTATTTAATACCTGTATATATGATATGAGACAAGAGGTCACTGTTATATACATTGATTGTCTGCTATTAGTAATAAAGTATTGAAAGAAAGAGAGAAGTCGTGTTTTTTTTTGGTGCTGAGTGTCTGTCTGGTAGTGGTTGTGGTAGTGGTGTTTGGAGTGCACTTCCACTGTTAGACTTCAAAACATCGGGAGATAGAGAGAGGACAGGACACGACTGGCCTCTCGGGTGGAAAAAAGGAGACAATGATGTCGTTTAAGCGAAAAGATGTTAAAAAGTCTTCATATTATGTATGGTTTTTGGGCGCAAAAGAGTCTAAAGGCTTGAGAGGTGATGAGTATGTGATGCCAGTGCTCAGGCTATTGGTCGATAAGGAGCGACACTCGGAACCGTCTAAAGTGACTCTGCAGGTGAACAACAAGGGTATCAAAATTGTTCAGACAGTGATTGTGGCCAACAAAACACAACAACACCAACAACAACGAACCGGTAGTAGCAAAGGTGGTGGTGGTAGTGGCGGCGGTAGTGTTTTAGTGGCCACCGGTGATTACAAGTCATCCTATACGAGTAGTCTGTTTGGTAGCATCGGTATGGGTGGCGGTGGCGGCACAGGTAGCGGCACCGGTGCTGTGACTGTACCGCCAAAAACTGAACAAATCAAACATCTGATACCCAATCACTCGATTACATGGGTCTCGCAGGAAGAGGACATCATATGCTGTATACTATTGATCTACAATCCGGTTACCAAATGTCCGGTTCATGTTCACGCCTACCGATGCGATTCAATAGAAACGGCCACTTCGTTGCGAAATCAGCTGCAAATACTGATCGATCGGCCGGAAAATCAGAAAAAATTTCGCGAAATCGAAATACGTCTGATGGCCAAAGGTTTGATGACCGCCGCCGCCGCCGCCAATACTAGTCTACCGTCACTACCAGTGCCGTCGCTACCGTTATCGCTGTCATCGGCCACCTCATCGGCACTGGATTTTCTGCCGACGCCGTCGGCTGCGGCTAACCGACGTACGCTCAATTCGGACGGTCGGAGTACTCGGACGGACGGATCCGATGGTTCGGACGAGTCGTTAAGTTCGTCATCCTATATGATGGCGGCATACCATCAGCAGCAGCGACACCACCACCTGAACAGCAACATTGATAATATTGATTGTGAAGTCAAACATCAACAACAATACCATCAAACTAAAGGTGTTTCCCGATTGAACAGAAGTTATTCAACAGTGAATAATAATAGCAATAATCATAATAATAGAGTGAATAATAATAATCATAATAATAATGACAGCAATTGTCATCTAAAAAGTTATCGCAATAATCATAATCACAATAATAATAATAATAATAATAATATATTAGCTAACAGTGCTTATAATAATCATAATAATAATAGCAATGTGTCGATGCTTTACGAGTCGCTGGCGGCTGAATTCAAAGCCAAGTTAGACAATCCCAAGTCCGGGCCGATACTGTTGCCGCCCCGCGATTACGACACTATTAGCCGCAAACGGGGTAAACTAGTCGACATGGATGTCCGCAAGTCGACCAATCCGACTATTGTCGGCTCACCAAACAGTCCTCAACAACAGCAGCAACTGTCACCTCATTCAACAGCGCCTGGCTCTGTAAACACCCGGAACACTGGCGGCACCAGGAGTTCATTGATGCGCTGCGAGTCGTCGGCCGCCGCCGTCGCCGCCGCAGTCAATCACAGGCCACTGGCTGTCCGGCGGTCCTATTATTTTGATCGCATAGATTCGCTCAAATAATAATAATAATAATTGATTTTTTTAAAAAGCCCATACCCTCCTCCCCACCCTACCCTCCCTACTACCCAATAGTTAATTTATTTTATTTTTTATTATTTTTTTTTGAATTACTAAATAATGTAAAATTAATAATAATTATATTTTTTTGTTAGTTTGTTAAATAAAATTTGTGTTAATTTATAATTAAATATTTATATTTATAGATAATAATAATAATATCATTATTCAATGATAATTATTATTATATTTAATATGTTTGTTATTATTGTTATTATTATTATTATACAATAGTTTTGTAATACAATATTTTAATAGTAATAATAATAAAATAATATTAGTTTTATTAAATGTTTATATATTTTTATATAAAATATTATTATTTTTTTCAATGTTTGAATGAAATAAATAAATTAAAACTAATTTAATAATTTTGGATAAAAGTATTAGTTTTTTTTCTACGAAAGAAAACAAAAATTAATTTATTATATATATATATATATTACTAATAATTTATTAGCAATAATACTAATCATATAATATTTATCATTGTTATTGTTATAATAAAAATAAAATAAATTGTTACTAATTTTATTTGTAATTACTATTAACAATACAGTGTATATATTATATCACACTTAAAATAACACATTATATCCGTAATATAAATTAATTAATTAATTAAATTAATTAGTCAATTATGTTATGTACAGTATATCACAACTACAACTACATTATGATATCGAGACTGAAAAAATTGATTAATTTATATATATATATTTGTAGACAATTTGACAGTTTTTGTAGATATAATAATTAATACGTTATATAAGTAATTGTAATATAGTTTACTACTACTACTGTATAAAATATATATACATTTATATATTTTCAGACTAAATAGATAACTAAAATAAATATATTATTATTATTAGTAAAGTGTTTCTTAAAAAAATAAATTTTTTTATCAAATTTACAGTTAATTGTGATTTTCTTTCACTGATTTTTCTTTATTTTTTTTATTAGTAAAGTAAATAAAATAATAGGAAATATATAAATATTTTCAATAACTTTGTTGTCATAAGATTTTTTTTAGATATAACAACAATCAAAAAAAAAAGTTTAGTCTATTAATAATAACTTTTATAACTACTAATAATAATTATTATTACATTTTTTTTATTAATAATACAATTAGTGTAAACAACAACAAAAAAACTGATTTCCAAACATATATATCAATATATAAGAAAATAATTAATTAAATATAATATTTATCAGATCTAAAGTACAAATTAATAGTCAATAATATACTTTTATGAGAGATATAAATAAAAAATTAATGATTTTGACTAATAGTAATGTAGTAAACAATTGTAGTAAACAATTGTAATAAACAATTATTAATTAATTCAATAATACAAACAAACAAAAAATTCAAATCATTTATTAATTAATATATCAAATCTTAATTAGTGAATACATAATGCAATACATAATACTTTTTTTTATATATACAATATATTATAATATAAAAACTTTATTGAAATATATATATACCGTTTTTTGTTGTTATAATATTAATTAATTTAATAATATTTTTTTTAATTATTAATATTGCAAAAGTCCAATGAAAATTATCATTTAGTTAGTGATATACTGTATATAAAATGTAAAAATATTTTTTTTATTAAAAACAGATACATCAGGTATTCAATAGATAAGGACAGTCATGTATTTAATATATTGAAAATTATATATATATTTATATCAATATATTATATATATAAATTATATAATATAATATATAATATATAATATATTGATATAAATATATATATATATTATATACCTTATGTTAGCATATATAGCACCCTCTTTCTGATAAATTTTAAAAATTTAAAATTTAACTTTTATTTGTAGGGGTGGGGGGACTATAGATCACATATACCCCCACCACTAGTGGGGTGAGGGGGTAGAAAACCGATTGAGGGGAATGGTTAAATACCTTACTATAATTACATTACTATAATTAATTAAATAAATAAATACATTATAAATATAAGTAAAGTGTTTATTTAAAAAAAACAATCAAATTTACATTTAATTGTTTTCTTTTACTGATTTTTTTTTAAGTAAATAAAATTCAATAATAATACTAAATATTGTTAAAATAGTTAAATAACTTATATTAATATTTATATAATATTAAACAATTTAATAATATTATTTATTTATTTTTTAAATATAGTCAAACAAAAATTTGGCATTTGGTTACTATATATAATATAAAGTTATATAAATATTTTCAAATTTTATATACTTTATGTATATAATATAACTTTTTTTTTTTAAATTATCCAGATAAAATCAAATCAAACAAAATATATACTTTTTAAATGTAATTAAAAGTATTATTATTACTACTAATAATTTTAATATAAATAAATAAAAAAAATATACTTAATTACTGTTTGTAAAAAAATATTATTATTATTATTTAAAATGTGAAAATTAAAATTTATATAAAAAGTTAAATCAAATTTTAATTATATTTATTTTAATTAATACACAAAAAAATCTGTTTTTTAACTAAACAACTCACCATTTAATGGGAGAGAGAGAGAGAGATAATATAATAAAAATTGTTTAATTATTTATAATTAAAATTTTTTAAAATGTCTTCAAATAAGACGACTACCACTACCTCCGGAAGTGATTCAGCCGAAGATCATGTCGTCAGACAACAGTGTCTGTCGTTGTGTCGACAATATGTCGGCGGAAGTGTTTGGTCCAGAAAAACAACTCCTAATAATAATATTGTTGTCAAACAATTGACTGGCGGTCAGACACATAAAGTCTATTTGTGTCGGAAATTGTTGGCCACCGATGTCGACACCGATGCCGACACTACCGAAGCTACTGATGATGATAAACAACTGGTGATCCGTTTGAATGCCAAAAGCTATTGTCTGGGCCATCAACAAGACTATAAAGACTATATATTGGCGCCATTGTTAGCCCAGTTAGGTTTGGGACCTAAAATCTACGGGATTTGTCCGTTAGGTCAAGTGTTGAAATACTATCCGGTAATTAGTATATAATTTATAATATATACTGAATATATCATATAAATACTGTATATACTGTATATACTGTATATACTGTATATACTGTATATATCATATATATAGTGTATAATATACAATATAATTAATATCCGGTATTAATTGAATATGATTAAATATGATATATAATTTACAATATATACTATATATATCATATATACAATATATATTGTAAATTATATATTAAATAACACTGTATATATATAAGTGTTATTAAATTTAATTCATGAAATATATGACCCAGCTTAATTATCATCTAGTATTTATACTAAAATTATTTATATATAAAAATAATAGTAATTTTTTCTTAATTAAATATTAATTAATCATCAATTAATAATAATATTAATAATAATTTTGTTTTTTTCAATGGGTATGTATTTAAAAAAAAGCACCGACATTTCAATGACGATGATATGAAAAACAATCATCGATTAGTTGAACAGTTAGCTAAATTGTTGGCCCAGTTTCATCAATTGGATGTACCCATAAGTAAACATAGCGATTGGGTACTGGACTTAACTAAATCAAGTTTAGCTAAACTTGAGATCATTGAGTCTAGACTTCAACAAAAATTTCATGAATATAATTGTAAAAATTTACAATCATTTCATCTGAAATTGGAGATCCAATGGCTAATTGAATCGCTTGAAAGCTATATGTCCTCTACTACTACTACTGCTAGTGGTGTCGACACCACTATCACTGCCACTGCCGACAGGTTTGTCTTAACACACGCGGACTTCCGATGCGATAACATATGGGTAGTCACTGATGATGACGGCTCAGGTAGTAGTAGTAGTAGTAGTAGTAGTGATAGTAGTCTAATGTTAAGCGATTTCGATCACACATCCTATGGTAGCCGTGGCCTAGATTTTGGTCAACTATTCAGTGAGTTTATCGTCAGAAAAATGCCAATAGATTTTCCCGACGACCAACTAATGCGTCGATTTATTGCCGACTATATCCGTGAAAGTAGTCGACTTCGCGACAGTCACGGCAGTGACCAAAAGTGGTCACAACGACCGATCAATTCAGTCGATTCTATGCTAAATGAATGTAAATTTTTTATAATAGCCTATCAATTGATGATAATGTTTGTCATTATTATTATGATTGACGACGACTTCAATGATATGCCGTTAGACGAAAAAACTTCATATGTATGTACCGTATAGTTAATAATAATAATAATAATAATTTTATTATTGAATTTTTATTATTAATATTTAGTTAATTAATTAATTATGTAAATTTTATTTATGTATATCTACTTTATTTCAGGCAATTTGTGAGGCATCGATTGGTAACTATATTGAACTTAAACGTAAATTTATTTCAATCAAAAAATAAATTAATATTATTAAAAAAAATTAATTTAATGTACTATTAATACTATCAAATCAATTTATATTTATAAACAATCGTCAATATAATTGTCATTTATTTTATAGGTGAAAAAAACTATATAATTTTAATTTTAAATACAATAAATAAATTTAAAAAAAAGTTATTTAAATAATATAATATAATATTGATAATAAAAAATTATTTTCACTTCAAATACTATATAAATTACATATGGTTTTGTTAAGTTTCATAATTATAATTATTAATATTAAATTACTAATATTTTTCTCAAAAAAAACTGTTATTAATAGATTAATTAAAATTAAATTAAAATTAAAATTTGAATTACAAAAAAAAAAATGGGAAAATAAAAGTTATTGAAAATTATTTTACTATATTTTAAACATTGTATAATTAAATATAATCGTTTAATATTATTTATATATATATTTTCATTGTTATATATAAATATTTAACATTAAAACAATATTTAGTTTATTATAATTTTTATATAATATTTTTATATATCATATCTTTTCCTATCTTAAAATATTATGAAAATATTAAATAAATATAAATATACTGTATGAATATTAATAATTTTTTTTAAAAAATACAAATAAATTAATATTTATATAATTTATAAAAAAATTATAACTAAATAATTATCATATAGTTTCCTAATAACATACCTATCATATTACTTTCAATGGCTTATACAGTATATATATTAAATAAATTTATTTAAAAAAATATATATAATTTATATACTAAAACAAAACTTATATAACATACGGTAGTATACACTCAATCAAAAGTTAATCTACTTTTACTATACTATAATACCGTATATCTGATACTAAAAACAAAAATTGTTTTATTATTAACTAATAATAATAATAATACTGTAATAACTAATAAAATAATGACAAATAATAATAATAATAATATAAGATATAATGTAGAAAATAGATGCGACAAACAGTTACGTCAATATCCGCTGAAATATCCGGTACCTAAGTTTACGACCCGATTGCCATTCAAACGCAACCAATTGGACATTACTGTCAACTCCGAGACACTAACCGACTGGTCGTACAGACAGTTTCCGACCAGTCAGATGTCTGGCCAAAACTATCGTAAACTAACGAAAGGTGTATCGTTAGTATTGGCCTACTATTATCCGACTGTCCTATCAGTGGACAGTTACTATCATATAATGCAGGACTTGATCTTTATGTTCATTATGGACGACAATACCGAAGAACCGTGGGGTCAATACAATTGCCAACAAATGGACAAATGTCGTAGTGTTTGGTCACAAATTACCAATTTGTTTGCCGAAGCGGCCAGTGATAGCCGAACACTAGATAACGACAACAACAACAACAAAACTGTCGACCGTTTGGAACCATTTATTAGGCATATTATACCCGTATATCGGGATTATTATCGACGTATGAATGCCGAACAGTGGAACCGATTTGTCCGATTGAGACTAGAGTTTTGCAGAGCAAATGTCGAGGAAATTGAAATTATTGTCAACAATAACGGCCGGTCCGCTTCGTTAGACGAAAAGCTACGGGTATGGTATGCCGGGTGTGTGTGTGTGTGTTTGCAGGTGTATGTAGTTGTGAGTGTATATAGATGTGTAGGTAAGTAGATGTGGGTGTTTGTATATGTAGGTGTTTGTGTGTGTGTGTGGGTGTATGTAGATGTGGGTGTATATAGATGTGTAGGTAAGTAGATGTGGGTGTTTGTATATGTAGGTGTTTGTGTGTGTGGGTGTATGTAGATGTGGGTGTATATAGATGTGTAGGTAAGTAGATGTGGGTGTTTGTATATGTAGGTGTTTGTGTGTGTGGGTGTATATAGATGTGTGGGTAAGTAGATGTGGGTGTTTGTATATGTAGGTGTATGTGTGTGTATGCAGGTGTTTGTGTGTGTATGCAGGTGTATGTGTGTATGTAGGATTGGGTATATGTAGGTGTGTGGGTAAGTAGATATGGGTGTTTGTATATGTAGGTGTTTTTGTGTGTTTGTGGGTGTGGGTGTATGTAGTTGTGGGTGTATATAGATGTGGGTATATAAGTTTGTAGCTGTGTGTGTGTGTGTGTGCATAAATGATTTATCTGTTTTTTTTCATACCCTCCCCTCCCCCCATTCCCAATGAACAACAACAAACACATAATAGATTCGCCGTATAACTGCTGGCCTAATGCCGGTAATATTGAACCTGACCTACGATATTGAACTAACACCAGATGATTGGTCGGACCCGATATTCAATCAATTGTTAGACCTAATGAACGATCATATGATTTATGTAAATGATTTGTTTTCGTTTGAAAAAGAGTTGGCGGCCGTCACTAAAGCCATTGATGGCAACACTACTACTACTACTACTACCGGCACCGACACCAACAGCACCTATACTGTCCAAACACTGTCCAAACTATCCAATACTGTAGCCATGACTGCCGTTGATAATCAATGTTCAATACCTGAAGCCCAGTCTAGTATTGTCCATAAAGTTAGACAATTGGATCGGGAAATCGTTAAACTGGTCCACGACTGGACTGCCGCCGATAACACTGGTGGCCGACAATTGTTTTCGTTGTTAAGTCCTGGTGGCCAACAATTTGTCCGATCGTTACTCTATCTTCCCGGCGGTAACTATAGGTTTAGCGAATCGTGCGATCGTTATTTGATTGTTTGATAATCTGATTAAACTAATTAAAAAAAAATCATTAATAACAACAAAAATAATGACTACAATTGAATTTTATTTGTAATTTAAAGATATTTTATTCAACAAAAATAAAACTATTATTTTATAGAAAACAAAACATATTTTAAAAACAATAATTTTAATTATTATTATCTAAAATACTAATTATTAATCAATTTGTTTTTTAATTATATACTGTAATTTCTATTTTTTTTAAATTAGATATTTTAACATAAAATATTGTTTGTATGTATGTATGAGTGTGTGTGTGTGTGTGTGTGTGTGTGTGTCTATGTGTATGTGTATGTACTGTATGTGTGTGTGTATGTGTGTGTGTTTATGTGTGTATGTGTATGTGTATGTGTATGTGTATGTGTATGTGTATGTGTATGTGTATGTGTATGTGTATGTGTATGTGTATGTGTATGTGTATGTGTATGTGTATGTGTATGTGTATGTGTATGTGTATGTGTATGTGTATGTGTATGTGTATGTGTATGTGTATGTGTATGTGTATGTGTATGTGTATGTGTATGTGTATGTGTATGTGTATGTGTATGTGTATGTGTATGTGTATGTGTATGTGTATGTGTATGTGTATGTGTATGTGTATGTGTATGTGTATGTGTATGTGTATGTGTATGTGTATGTGTATGTGTATGTGTATGTGTATGTGTATGTGTATGTGTATGTGTATGTGTATGTGTATGTGTATGTGTATGTGTATGTGTATGTGTATGTGTATGTGTATGTGTATGTGTATGTGTATGTGTATGTGTATGTGTATGTGTATGTGTATGTGTATGTGTATGTGTATGTGTATGTGTATGTGTATGTGTATGTGTATGTGTATGTGTATGTATGTGTGTATGTGTGTGTTTGTGTGTGTGTGTCTATGTGTATGTATGTGTGTATGTATGTGTATGTGTGTGTGTATGTGTGTATGTGTGTATGTGTGTATGTGTGTATGTGTGTATGTGTGTATGTGTGTATGTGTGTATGTGTGTATGTGTGTATGTGTGTATGTCTATGTGTATGTGTATGTATGTGTATGTGTATGTGTGTGTGTATGTGTATGTGTAAATGCTATCAATCTATTAATAAATTAAATCTATTAATAATATAATTAAAAGTAAAAAAATAATATTATTATTTGTAGTTGTTATAAATTAAATTTTCTATTGATGTTTTTTTTTATTTAAAATAACGTATGTATAGTGCTAAGAGAGACCTCTGATTTGGCGCTTAAATTTATCAGATAAATAATGTTTGATAAGAAATATAAGGGGCTAATGTAAATGTAAAAATTATTAGTATAAATTTGAAAAATTTATAACACGTGATATTTATAAGTGTATATTTATAATAAAATAAGTTTAATAAAGTAAATGTTATTATTATAATTAAGTTAAATTAATTAGTTATGGAAAATAAAAATAAAGGATATTATAATGAAAGTGAAAGAGATTTTATAGTAAAGTGTTATTTTGAATTTAAATCAAGTGATATTTGTAAAAATAAAATAATTTATATACAAAATAACTTTAATATTGAATTTAATAAAAGTGCTCCACATAAAAGTGGTATATTAAAAATTATTAAAAAATTTAAAGACAAAAAAACAGTGAAAAATTTAAAACGTGGAAAACCTAAAATAGTTATAAATGAAGAAAATATTAAAAAAGTTAAATCATTAATTACTAATTATAAATCAATTAGAAAAATCACTAATCAAATAAATATAAATAATAAAGTTATAAGTAATGGATCAGTTCATAAAATACTTAAAAATGAACTCAAATTATTTCCCTACAAATATACATTTGTTCAAAGATTGACACAAAAATCAAAAGATATGAGAATTGTTTTCTGTAAAAAAATAATTGAATTAATTAAAGATAATCCCCAAAAATTGGATTTTATTTGGTAAGTCTTAAACAAAAACCTTAATTAATATCACGCTAAAAGCACCGGTCCTCGTAGGTTCACTGATGAAAGTCATTTTCTATTGGAAGAGTTTATAAATAAACAAACTAAAAGAAAATGGAGTGAAAAAATTAATGGTAAACCCGAGTCTACTTACGTCGAGAAGATAGCACATCCTGGCTATGTCTCTGTTTGGGCAGCTATATCAAGTCAAGGGATTATTGGCCCTTACTTTTTTGAAGATGAAAATGGCAAAAGAGTTACGATTACTAAAATTAATTATAAATTAGTAATTAATCAATTTGTCGAAGAGTTAAAATTACTCAATGGTAAAGACTTCAACAAA